TTACAGGTCCCACCAGCTTCTCACAGTCACCTGTCCCTAGCTAGTCCCTCCCACTCCTCACATTTACCACCTCCATGACCCAACGACCTCGTGAATAAGAAATGGGCATAACCCCGTTCCTGTCCTCTGTGCCCACCCAGCACTCTTGAGCCCTACATGTAGCATCAGTCCTGGACCTGGCTTACCCATCCATCCATATACCCCCAACCCCCTGGGTTGGGGTTAAGGCTTCAAGGAGCAAATGCCACCAGGTGGCTCCCTGCTAAAAATCTTCAGGGTCCCTGCTGTTCAAGGATGCCCTCCCAGTGCCTTTCTGCTTCCTGTGGCTCTCCAGCCCCACAGGACCTGCTTCTGCAGCCCCCTCCCCAAAGGTGGCTTATCTGTGACCCACCACCCTCCATGCATCCACTTTAGTCAGCAGGGCTTGCATCTCCCCACCCCACATTCTCCCTCCCTTCGGGACCTCTACAGCCTTGAGCCTGTAGCCTGCTTTCCTCTCCAGTTCCTCCCTCCTTCACAGGACCGTTATTCAATCCTGCAGGGCCTTGCCTCATTCCTTCTGAAAGTTTGTTGCCTTATCACGGTGATGAGACTGCTTAAGTGTCTGTTGGCCACCTTGGACCACTGGCTTACTGGTGAGGACTGGTCTGCTAGCTCTCTTGGCATCTTATAACACTCTATATATAAGTGCTTAGCATACACATGTAATTGTAATATTTTCAGCTGGATTATGAATGAATGGACAGCTACTACAGGTATATGGGTGGGTGGATGGAAGTAGGGAAGAGGAACTACTTGACTTGGGTCTTGAGGGCTTTTGAAGACCTTCGCGCAGGGCATTCAGAGGAGGAAGGGCAGGTCTGGCTGTATGCAGGAGTGTCGGGTTGAAGGCACAGTGGGAGATAAAGGAGGATGCAGACGGATTACAAGGACCTTGAATGTCACTGTGCAGACTCTGGACTTAATTCAGTAGGCGATGGGGAGTCATGGAAGGGTTTTAATCAAACAAGTGACGTGATCCCACCTGTGCTGGAGAGAGAGTGATGTTAGAGGGGACTGCAGTATGAGGGGACTGAAGGCTGGCGAGGAGGCTGCAACCATGGTTTAGGCTTTTTAAAGCTAGGGAGGCCTGAGCCAGAGTAGGGATCATGGGATGGGTCAGAGTCTAGGACCAAATGAATATGTGAGACCCTAGAATCTTTCTTCACTCTTGGCTGCTTAACTAGCCAGTTTCCACTTCCCAGGAGGCAAAGGAGGTCAGAGAGAGCCTGGCAGTCCTGACTCCACCCCCACATCATCAAGTGGGAGTACAAAGGAAGGAGAAGCCACTGCCTGTAGCCCTGTGGGAATTGAGGGTTATAGACCAAGGGATATTATCAATAATCACACGGTTTTCCTGTGGAGTGTCCTGTGTTCTGGCCATGGTGCTAAGTGCACAGATTTGTGCGTGTTTCATCCTCACAACAACCCAATGAAGTAGGCATCGCTAATTGTGTATTTCGCAGAAAAATACTGAGGCTCAGAGAGGCAGAGTAACTCATCCAAAGCCACACAGCCAACAAATCAGTAACCCAGAGGGCTCTGACTGCAGTGCTTGTTTGCCTAGCCAGCAAGTTATATACACAAATGGGGATGGTAGCAAGTGGATGGCTGAAGCCTTGTGGATCTGATGAGGAAGCAAGAAGTGCCCAGTCTCATATTGCCAGCAGGAAGGAGGGGCCTGGAGGAAAGACTTGGGAGGAAGGAATACCTCCAGGCTCCTGAACCTTCTGTACTTAAGCCCATATTCACAGACACAGGAAGGCACAGTTCCCTGTAAGAGAACCAAGCAAGGAATGGGCACTAAGGCCATCCTTAGTGGTAATAAAGCACGCTCCTTTGGGGGCAGGGAGAGTGTAGTAACAACATAGGCCCAGGACCCAAGAGCATAGGAAGCCTTTTTGCAAATTAGAGAGGTGTCCCTTCCTCCAGGAACATGCAGTTTGCCTTTAGGGCACCTGCCTTGTTGAGTGAAGCTTAAAATAGATTCCAGACCTTACTCTCCTCCTGCACAGAGTGCCTTCAGTCAACAACCTGACCAACTGTACAAGACACGCATACCGCCAACCTCCCTGTTCTGTCTCCTGCTCCCAAGTAGCCAATCTGAATGCAACATCTTCAGCAACAAAAAATGCCCGACTCTCACATACACAGAACTCAAACCATCACATAAACTTAACTTTCTGGTTAGCCTTTGCCTCCTCCATGTGAGAAAAGACAAGTCCTATAATGCTCTAATGAAAAAGTTGAGGTCAGAACCTGTCCTGATTTGGGGAACTGAGGGAGAATCTAGGCTTCCTCTAAAGAGAGCAGAATCAAAACACATGGTTCTAGGAAGCAGAGACACCCTGGGCATTGTCCCTGGCTCAGCTCTACAGAGGGATGGGCAACCCCTAACTGGGGTCCCAGCCCAGGCCCTCCTCAGGGCCTTCTTTTCCCTCTATCAGCATCCTCCCCTCCCCTCCCAGGACACACAGTGCAGCTGCTGCCCAGTTACATAAACAGGATATATTCTCTCTCTCTCTCTCTCCTCAGTACCTGAGGCTACATTTCCAATGGAGCTTCCTGATGGAAGAAAAGGGGGAACTCCAGAGAGGAAAGGAAATTTAATTGGCTAACTCCTCTAGTTGGTGTGTTAATTAAACTGGCCATTCCAAACTTTGTTAAGGCAGAGGAGACAGACCTGAGGTTCCTGCCCCAGCTCCAACCCAGGCCCTCACAGGGGCCTCAGAACACAGCGGGGTGAGGGCATAGAGAACCTATGGAGGTCAGGGACTGAAGTCCAGTCCTCTGTAAATTGTAGCTGCCAGAGACCATAACCATCCCACATGCACACACACACACACACACACACACACACACACACACATACACACACACACACACACACACACACACACACATACACACACACACTTTACATACATGTGCCCAGGGTCACAACACACTTTAAGAGCCAAGCTTTGTTTCCAGCATTTGCCATTTCAGTATCTCTGTCAAAGGCATTTAACTGCTTTTCTCTAGGAGCATGGAGATCTAACTTAAGGACCTCATGCTGCATGTAAGCAGGCATCGTCCTGTTCTGTCTCCAGTTTGAAGCCAAGAAACTGCTCTGTTTCCCCCAAGATCTACCCAACGTAGTTGGTGAGGTATAGAAAACAGGGTATCCAGGTTCCAGTTCTGGCTCCTGATAGCACTTGCCTGGTGACTCTGGCCTGCTTCCAGTACTTTAAGATGAGAAGAAGGGCAGCCCAGGTGGTCTGCACTGTGTCTGTGATCACCAATGCAGCAGACAAGGCCACCATGAGAAGCAGGTGCCCTTGGCTGAGAGAGACCTAGCTGGCCTAGAGGTGTTGTCTGGTTGTCTCCAAGAAGCACACAGACCTCCCACCCATCCCAGGAAGAATCAATCTTCAAAGGCTGTACTGGAAGGACAGTGACTGTCCCTTCCAGGAGGAATGGAAAAGAATGTCCCGGGAACTAGGAAAGCTAAGGGACGTGACAGGAGCAGAGAGAAGAGGGTGGGTGGACCAGCAGAGAGAGACTGAAGTAGGCAGAAAGAAAAGAGGAATTATCCTAGATGGGCAAAGACGGAAGAGGTCTACACCAGCCAAACCAACACATTCCAGAAAGGGATGTGCAATAAAGAGGTCAGAGTGGGCACTGGTGGGCAAGCATGGGGAATGCCGAGTGACAGCATGATGGTTGGGCATGGTGGATTAGGGTTTCAGGACAATAATGCTGAGCAATGGGGAAAGAGGAGGGAGGAGGAGGTGGTGAGAACCCACACCCCACTCCTGTGGCCCAACAGTGGTTACAGTTGCCAAAGCCGGCAAGCAAGCCGCTGCCCCGGTTGGACATTCTAGCCAGTTCCAGAACTAGGAGACCTCTAGGATGAAACCCCGGAGAAGCGAGGCTGGCATGCACAGCCTCTGGCAACACCAGGAAGAGTAGGAGTGAAGGCAGAGGGTTCCCTGCTGCGGGACTGTGGGAAGTCTAGGCCGACTGCTGGCAGCGCTAGGGTGCCCGCCACCAGGGGGTGCCCCTGCGGCTCGGGGAGCCCTCGGGGGACTCTGGTTTAGCTGCTCGCTGCACCCCGCAGGGTGATCTCCCGCAGCGCCCCAGCTGGGGCAGGACCCGGACCGGGCCACAGCAGGAGTGGAGTGGGGTTCCCAGGCTCAGGTGACAGGGGTAGGGACCATGTCCACTAAGGGTCTCCACAGACCACGCGCCTGCACCGTCCACGCCTCCTGGCTCCGAACCTGGGGCCCCGAGGGTCAGTCCCGAGTGGCACCGGCTTTGGACGTGAGGTTGTGAAGCCCGGTCCTTCTCCGTGACGGGGACAGAGTCCCCGGAGTCAGGTGCCCAGGAAGAGGGTAGAGCTGCCCCTCGCTCGCTGCCGGTCACCGGACAGTCGAGGGACGAGGGGGTCGCGCCGGCGGGGTCTCCCGGGTCCCCGCGGCCGGTCCGGCTCACCCAGCCCTGAGTGGCCACAGGCGTGCGTGTCGCCGCGGCCCGACCCGCACACACACCAGCGCGCACACGCTCCAGCCGCGCCGATCGCCCGGCCTCCGGGAGCGGCCGCAAGCCCAGCCTCCGGCTGCGCGCTGTAGGCGGCGGGGACGCCGGGGGTCCCGGGCCCGGGGTCGAGGCTGGGCTGGGCATCCCCGCTGCACTCCCGGCGCGCATGCCCCGTCCCCCGGAGCCGCCACCCCTGGCCTGCGGGGCATCCCCGAGCTTGGGGCACAGGGACAGCCACTCCGGGGCCGGGAGGTGGCCAAGGCTGGGCTCGGCGCCGGGGAAAGTTTGGACGTGGCAAAGTCCCCGCCGCCCCGCAGGGGAGGGGACGCGG